ACATATATACATATATATATACACACACACACATATATACATATATACACACACACACACACATATATACATATATACACACACACACATATATACATATATACACACACACACATATATACATATATACACACACACACATATATACATATATACACACACATATATACATATATACACACACACACACACATATACACGCATACACACACACACACACATATACACGCATACACACACACACACACACACACACAAGTATATTTTTTTCATTCAACCTTTATTTAAACAGATAAATCACATTGAGCCTTGAAGACTCATTTACAAGTGTCTTTGGCACACCCCCTCCTCCAATGCCAGCCCGCTTCCTCGTCGACAGTCAGGTCAAACTGGTTCAAAACCAACAAACTGAAGAGGACCGGCACCGGAGGAGGGGGCGTGCCAAAGACACCATCTTAGCACCAACATAAGTGGTTTGTTCCACTTTGGAGTAAGCTGTTTAGGGGAAGAATCAGTTTTGTTGTGCGTTTCCTTGACTGATGAAGCCTTCTGGATGGAAGGTGAAATGTTTCAGCAAAAAAATAAACTGTCCAGATGACCTGACTGAAAAATGTTTGGGTTTTATCAGCTGTTCTTACTGCTTTTGTTTTATTTCACGCCTGTATTCTGTATTTCTGTAAAGCAATTTGTGATTTTATCTATGAAGTGCTATATAATAAAAGATTACTTACTTATAGCTACATACATGAACAGGTGATCTGTAGAGACTGTGTGCCGTCTTAAACAGTTGACTGATGATTTCAGTTGATATAATAGTTGTGATTGTCATGATAAATACAGATCTACATGATGCCAACATAAAAAGTAAAGCAGCATGATGGCTTACTCAACAGAGGTGTGCATGTGTCTTCAAACACAGGAACCTACCCTGTCTGCAGCTTTACTCTGACTCGGGTGAGATTCAGCAGCATGGTGAGCGCTGTTGTTGTGAGAGGCCTCCTGAGGAGATCCACTGGTCCCTGTAACAAAACTTTGTTTTAATCAGGTAACAAAAAAATACAGGACTTTTCCAAGGACTGCATCCTCAGAAGGTAATGCTGCGAAACAGAACACACTGATTTGCTCTTTAATGTTTACATTTCATGTGTTGTGATCCGGTGGATGGAAGATGACAACATTCTCCAGAAATGCGTCGTTATTCAGGAGAGACAGAGTTTAGGTTTGTTTTTAATATGCAGCCTTTATGTGATCACATGTTTACAAATTAATATGTAATTTATGTCAGAGATCTGCACTAAAAGATGCCAGAAAGAAGCACCGACAGGTCTCTCTTGAAAAGGAGTACCGTACTCATGACTCAATGAGACTAACCTGTATTAATAAAGGTTGAATGAAAACCTTGTGCTTGTAGGTTTCCAGCAGAACTGACCACAGCGTTTCTGCACACACCAGCCAATCATATCTAATGCCTTTAATGATATTTATGATGCCATCGACAATTAATGCACAACTATTAAACAACTTTTACTTTAGTTTTACAGATTAAGTCATGTGCCTTAGTTCACAAGATTTTCATTTGAATTTAAACTTGTTTAAACGAGCACCACAGAACCAAGGGGCATCTACGTATGGAACACCAAAATGATCAAAATTAAATAAAGCATTATGAAATAAATAACTAAGCTCATTACTACAAATTGTTTTCATTTGAATTCTTTTATTTCATAATTGTGTTTTTCATGATAGCTTATTTACTTCATAATTCCACATTTCAGCAGAAAGACTTCAGCTGTCAATCGTCAGTGGGTTGGACCTTCACGCCCAATTGCTGATCCTTCACGTCATGATCCATTAGTTTTCCTGCTCACTGTTACATGTAGCATGAAGCTGCACTGCTCTATGACCTCTGACCCTTATTCATGGTCCAGACTCACCATGAATCATGTTCCTTACAGTCACCTCTGACTTCAATGATGTCTGATGTTTTTATCACACTTCCTGTCCTTGGACACAGAGTCAGCTACAGTCTGACTAATGTTCATCTTATTCTTTCTCTGTTTCTAAGAAAGAAAAACGAATCATTAATGAAGTTTGTTTTATTTGATGAACAAGTGTGAACATGAATAATTGTGATTGTTGTTTTCAATCATTATAATGAAATCATGTGACATATTACAATGTGAATAACACATTTCTCTGTTTTCAGAAAGTGTTTGTTCCTTCAGAGACACCTGTGGAAAAGTTCTTTGAGCTGGAAGCTGTTTTGTTCAGAGGGAGCCACAATGGTCCCATGGCAGTCAAACAATCTTCTCAGAGCTCATGTTTTGCACAAAGTCTCTTTGTGTGAAAAACAGTTCGCCTTGGACCCTCGAACTGAGCAGTTCGTCTCCGGCCCCGAACCGGGAGACGGTTCGTCTGTGGACCTGATCCTCAAGGTCGTGCTTAGGTCCACTCGTTCAACTCCTGAGCAGATGAACATGTCACTCAAATTACGGTTGTTAGAAGTTTAGATAACTACAGAGAATGAAGCCTTTTCTCACTGACAGACTCACGTTCTCAGCTGAAGGTGCTGATGGACGGTGCACCTCCTCATCAGCTGTTCCCTCACAGACCCCTGAAGCTGTCACAGTGACGGTCAGCTACCTTGGGTGAGTCCTCCTCATGGTGTCTCTGGTCAGATCCACCAGAGAACCCCAGAAAGACGAGTGGTGCCATCAACACTGACCCGGTAAGGAGCAGAACCTGGTGACATGATGCAACTCTTGGTCTGGTTATTCTACTTTAAGCTGATGCAACTTGGTAAATCATTTCCTGACCTGCAGTGATGATAAATGACTTTATCTGATTAAATAAATTCTTTCAACCAAAATCCAAAGTAAACTATTTATTAAAATAGTCAAATTTTGTCTAAATTCATGCGCGTATAAAACTGAAATAATTCCTGCTCAAAGAGTCAATTTGCCTCAAATAAGAGAATTAAGACTTGATTGATTAATTATTACTGTTTGTTTATTATTGGTGGTGATTTTTAGTTTGATTATTTTTGTAATAAAAGTTCAATGAAAACTTTGGTCTCTTCATTCAGATGAATATTCATGTGTTCTGGTGTAGAACTCCCTGTAATGAACAGATTCTACTTCAGTGACTGATTCTGATCATTAAAGGGTGAAAATATTAATGAAGTTGTTGTTGGTCAGTAAACTGAGCAGCTGGTGCTCCTATTATATATATATAATAAATAAAATAAATGTAGAGGAGGGGGATGGAGAAAGTGTCACCTTCTTCCTCCATCTCACACCCTTCTTACTGCTACATACAGCTAGCATAGCAGCTAGCAGCGACCTGCTAGGTCAACACTCATGAAGGATGGCAGAGTTGCATGAACTTCGTTCAGTCAGGTAACTTTAGCAGATCAAACTGAGAAGATTATGTTCTTAGAAGATACAAGTGTCGTGACAAAAAGTGATGGACTGCCATCAATCAGTGTCGCAAGAGCGCGCACGGGAGCGCGCACGGGAGGACTCGCTGTTTTGCATCTTTGAATTTAACAACATTAACACTAGCTGAACCAGTGAGCAAGTATTCAGGAAAACCAACGGATGTGAAGGCCCAACCCACTGACGTTGATTGACAGCTGAAGTCGAAGCTGAAGTTGAATTGAGAAAGCTCCTCGGATGAGGAGCAAAACGTCTTCTGTTACAAATAAAGTCCAGTTGTTTTTGTCTTGAACGCTTTTTGAATTCATCATGTCCTGGATGACTGAGAATCTTCACCAGCAGACAGCTGAAGTCATTCTGCTGAAAAGTGACATTGTGAAAAATAAGCAATGATGAAAAACCCAAATATGAAATAAAAACAGAAAAACGAAAAAAAAAAAATTCATAAGGTTTTAGGTCCGTGTACATTCAGGCAGTTCGTTTTTCGTTTGAAACAAAAGATGAAAAAAACAAAAGCACACTTGTTTTTTCATTTTCCATTTATTAAACCGAAACAAAAAAATCAGATAACGAAGTGTAATCCGATTTCCGATGTTGTGCACAAAACGAAAATGGAAAAAACCAATAACGAGCGCTCAGTTTTGATTTTCATGATTTCATGTTTGACAAGTGGCCTGACCCGGAAGTTGTCTCTGCCCCGCACCGTTTGACTTCTTGCAATAATGGAATGTGGAAGTCACGTGGGTCATGCAGCGGCTCTGGTGCCAAATAGTTCCAAACAGCAACAGGTCCAGCATTGAACGTAGTTCATTCTCCGTGTTTCTGAAGTGTTTTCTCCGGTAAGTTGATGAAAATACGACACTTTTTTTCATTGTGAAGCGTTATCTGACTGTTCTGTACCACTGTTCTTCAACATTAATACTTCATGCCTCCAGTTTTAGTTAGCATGTTTACTTGCTAGTTGTGTTAGCCGTTTTTCTGCGAGATTGACATGGTTAATTTAGTTCAAGTTGTAGATCCTTTATCAAAGACTGCAGCATAAACAGGGACATTATCATTAAAGATAAATGTGATCGTGGAGATGAGTCATTTTTTAAAATGTTTTCCAGGTAAACCACAGGAGAATGACTTCAGTGAACTGAATGTTGCATTCAAAGTATCACAAAAGTAACAAGATCTCATTTTCTGTCTTCTCTTAAACAATAATAGCTGATTAAAAAATAATAAAATTACTTTAACACCATAACCTTCACAATGGTGGTATTTACTGCAGGACTGTTCATTTACATTTGTTTTAGATTATTCGTTTATCGTTTGGTAATCATGGGTCAAGTTGAGATGAGATTCTCTTCAAGACAGAACAAGAAATAAGAATTATTACCAAGAATATATCAGCATCAATAAACTGTAGGACAGTAACAAAACACTTATTAAACTATCATCACTATCTAACCGTGTTAGAGTCATGTCCATCTTCATATTTTCAGACTGACTGGGTGTTGAGCTAAGAAATGACCATGTTAGTGGAACTGGTCAGTCCTGTCAGTGATGATGGAGCTGGTAAGTTAATGGTGGAGTGCTGGAGCTGACTGGGTGATGTGGAGACTGTCAAAATAAAAATCAAATCAAAGTGATCAGAAATTAGTTTGTCACATACAAAATGCAAGCATTGCAACAACATTTTCTGAAACTTTCTGAAGATGCCAAGACTATGTATGATACTGAGCCCCGGACGGGACATGTAGGATTTTATTTTTAATTTTTTTACTTTTGCGTTCCCACGCAAACATTTTTGTGTTCCCTAGCAATGCTGTACTGTATGTAATGTTACCTCACAGACAACAAACGTTCTTCCCTCAAAGAAAATGGTCCAAATGACATGATTTAACCTTTTGAGAAAACAGCAAGGAAGACGGCAGACTACAGGAACCACTTGCGATTCAACCTCAGATGTCGACAAAGTGGCATCATTCCCAAGAGCCTGGAACTAAAATCATCGGTCAGCGGGTACCGGGCAAGCAAGATCCTTCAGAAGGCACAAACCCAGCTGCTGAATGAACGGGTGAGACAGACCAATTTTACTATTGAGGCCTTGAAGGCCAAAGAAGAGCACATTAAACAGAAACTAACTATGTGTCTAGATCAGACCACACCTCAGCAAGTGATGGATCAGGCACGCTTAGCACAGCATGTCAAGTCCAAGACTCGACAACAAAACAAGTTTAACTTACTAATAACTCATCAACACCATCACTATTCCAATAACAACACATTCAGTGTAGGACAACACTCCAGTAGTCAATTACATGTCAGGGAGACAGAAAAGTGGGTGAAGAATTTATCTGACAGACAGCTCACCCAGCCAGAGACAGAGATTCTTGCCAGGGGACTGAACTTTGCGGTTGCACCAAGTAGAATTCCTCTGGTGGAGATGATCACAGCTACTGAATCAGCCATCCGCAACAACAAAATGAAAGAGGCTGAAGCAGAACAGCTCAGAATCAAAGTTTCAGCCTGCCTCAGCAATGCCAAACCACCACCTTCCAACATCAGTAGAGAGGAGAGGGATGCACTCACCACTC